GTTCTATATTACTGTGGATTGGGATGCGCCAGCATTTATCTCAGAATAGCAGTAGCAGCTTGGTTGCGACTTCGCCCATACAATTTCGCCTATACAATGACTTGCAGTGGCCAGCCTGTAAACGAGATCAGCGTTTCATTCTTTCAGAAAGTCTGGTGCCAACTACCGACTCTGTAGGGATGGGAGGTCTGGTTTGCCTTGACGGCGTACTGTTCACGATCCGGGATTTCATTCCGGATCGTAGATTGTGGTGGGCAGCTCCACGTACCATTGCACCACTTCCGTCCTTGAAGAGGCTGATGGAAAGAATAAAAGTTTCCGGATTCGATTTCACCTTACAATGGCTCCATGGAATAGCTCACCGGCGGCGCGGATGCGAGCGCGTGCAGGTGACGTCAATTTGACGTCACAGCAGCGGGGAGGGATTGCAAGACAGGCGCCATTACTTTATAACATTACGTATTAGACACTATCGATTCTGACTTCACTGTGCAGTGAGTAGAAGTAATAACGAAGAATGGAACTAAATAATCAACTTCGACTTAATTGCGCACTCGTTGGGTTTTAAATGCGAAACCGTTCATTTCTCTAAATTCGCAAACAAATTCCTAATTTTCGACGGCGAAAATTGTACCTACACACAATACAACTCTTTGCTCACGGTACTACTGACTGCACCAATTAGTGAGTGCCAGCAACCCTTCTATCATCCAAGCGAAGTGACAGCAACGCTCCTATCTCGCCCTCTCGTCGCCGTTTTGTCGCAGCTGTGACGTCACCTGCACGCGCTCGCGTCCGCGCCGCGGTGAGCTTTTCTCTCCCCCACCTGCCCCTTACCGCGCTACACGTCCCATTTGCATCTCTTAGATGTGCATTTGCCATTTTATCAGTGACAAGTGATTGAAAAAAAAACGACTAGCGAAATGAATGGGCGGTGGTGATGCAATGCCAAGAGGTACGGCATTCCACGAACACAGTCTTAGGTACAAATCTCGCATCAAGTTTTGGCACAGCTGCCATGCTTTTCATAACTCCAGAGTTAGATGTTATTCGCTATAATACTTGGTTTAAATTTCTACTAGACGGGCAAAACACTGACCTGTACATCAACTTCCCTATGCAAGCCAGTGTATTTATTTGCCGAATTGTACTTAACTGCTTCCATGACTCTGGGTGGGTGAAACATGCATGGCGCATCTCAACACGGAATTGTTCTTGCCCTTTGTGAGCAGATCCTATAGATTCGGCATTGTTTACAGCAACTTCCCGCTCCTTGGAAAGACCCTCTCAATTAATTACTGTTCCGCATCTGGCTAGAACATGGCAAGCTCGATATTGCGCCAAATGCGGGAGTTCGTGACGGCGAAGAGATTGACTACCTTCCTTCCGCCTTTCTTTCGGCAGTTCTTTCCTGAGGGTGGACCATAGCATCGACAAAATTTTTTTCTCCGGTAATACAATACCATATCAACGAACCATCTCCCTTCATAGGACATCCGCCAAGAGGTTGCCCTACGGACCCTGGTTGCGATTTTTCTAGACAGATATCCAAAACAGAATCATGCTGTTGCGGCCAGCAAACTAGAAAACCCGGGCATATGTTCAAGGCTCTATTCATTTTGACAACCAATGAAATTTGCTGGGAGTAAGACCTGCGTCCGAAACTTTAAAAACATTTTTCAGGAGCGTGATAAGCGTTCAACAGATCGCCAGGCTTTTTTGTGCAGGAATACTAACAGCCGGTGCTTCTTGGACAGAGGTTCTTCAACTCCGTCCCTCAGTACCTGGGATTTTCAGAAGAACTTCTCCTGACTTTGGGCCGAGTCCAATCCCTTTCACTAGAACTTTATTGAAGGGAGCACAGCTTTGATAGTAGATTAAACCTTACTAAAACAAAAATCCATTCACCTATTATTTATTATTATTTTTATTCACCCGGAGTCGTCATTAAGGAGAATTTATGGCAACCCTTCCTGACCATTTCGGGTGTACAAAGCTGTCAACCCCGCTTCATACCCCGGTCAACCACTAGGAACTTCCACAAGAACTCTTAGTCGTCAAAGGTTTCTCCGTTACATCCCCTCCCTTCCCTCCTTCATTTTCGAAACTGAGCCTACCTTCTGAATGGGGTCAGTCGATTGGCACTAGTTTCGACATGACGCTAAATGTGAACGCGGGCGCTATACTTTGGCCGCCGTTGGTCAGTAGTGAACTTGACATCTGATTGAATCAGACAGTTGAAATATCGCAGTTGTCTGTGCTCAAGGTGCAACGCTAACGGGCCGTTCTTATCTGAGTGCGCATCATGGGACCACTTCCTTGATTCAAAATTTACAGGTGATGACGTCAGAGATGCGCTCAGTCAATTCGATTATCTAAACGAGTACGATAACTCAAGTCTTCGAGGACGTGAACGTGAAGTGTCCTATCATTTCTAAACACCAATTGCACCAAAGGAGAAGCTCCTTGCTCAAGAAGTGCCCTCGACCCTATCGATTTTATTGATTTTCCGCATAATTGATAATCTGTTCCTTTCTCATTTTGACCAAATTTTGAAGTCCCTAAAATGAAAGCCTCTTCCCCAGCCCGATCCCACTCACAAGCTGCTACTATGTGTCATAAAATAATTACTATCATGACGATATTGATAATTTCATGAAATCCACTCAAATAAACTCGCACGAAATGTACTGCTAGACGGCCTACTAGGACAACTAGCACAAATGAGGAAAACTTCTCATAGAGGATGCTCAACATATTCCAGTTTCTAGTTTTTGTATGAAAACATTTGTAACTGATGTGCTTCACCTGTGCTCTCGCCATATTTATGTTTATACAAACTATTACATTACCTCAATAAATTCCACTAAAAAAGAGATTTTATTGAGGATGAGAATAAAAATAAACTTTTTATTAGCTTTTTTTTATGTTGATACACGTTTATGTCGCACTGGTGACAATCGAAGTATAATGTACTAAAAGACATCAAAAATTGATCGCAATGGAAAACTCAGGATTAGAAGGGCATCAACAAGAAATAGGAACGTATAGCATTGGCAGTATCGCAGAAGCCTGAAACAGTGAGAGTTGCGGTGGTTACGGTAGACATTCTCTTATTGTGATGCATACTGGGCAAGAGAAAGTGCGCCGATTTCTGGGTGGGGGTTACGGTAAATAACTTCCGACACAAGCTAGTCATAACCTTTTTGATGGCCAGGCTTCGATGAGCAAGAGATTTGCCCTTAGAATGATCCCAGCGTTCGAAAATGAGGTATTAAAAAACGGCGTCAAATGTCGTGCATTACCGGTTATGCAAACGAGCTATGAACCAGGTAAGAAAAAGTTGCAATATAGAGTTATGAGACGGGAAACGCCTAGTTGGGTTTCATTGTTGCTGTTCACACGTCGCTGCGATCAGCACTCATAGACCGCGGCCATTTACAGTTTTCTCAACGTTGAAAGGAAGACGGATGGAAAGACGAATGAGCGCGCAATCATTACCCAACAAGGTCGTCAAATGATTGCGGCTGTTAGACGAGTATTGTACGCAAAGCGCTAGTTATCGATCCGATTTGACTCAATCATTTCTGTACTCACCTCGAAATGAACGACGAGATGATCCAGTAATAGATTTCTATATACAAGAATAAATGGTCCTCTGAGTGGCAGTCGTTGAGCAATACATACGGTATGTAAACAAACATCAATTAAATATTTCTATATAATGGCTGAGGTGGCGCCGTTGGCTCGTAACTCCATGGTGGCCAGGTGAAATTGAAACAGCAGCACTGAACGCGATGATGTCGAATGGGACGGTAAGGGCCAGCAGCTGCTCCGGGTGGGCCATGCATTGGCTGCTGCGTGATGGCTCGCCGTGAAGGCGAACCGAAACCGCCACCACCAGCAGCATGGGACTCGTGATGGTAGCTGGAGTGAGCCTGACGTCTATGCGAACTGGCACCCCCACGAGTCTCAGCCTCATGCTGTCGGCCGTCATCTCGATACAGCTCTCGGCCATCATCACGACCATAACCGATAAAGTCGTCCGTTCTGCCGTATTCTCGTCGAGCACGACCTGGATCGATGGTGATGTTGAGGTTATGACGTTTCGATGAGGAGGCTGATTTTGGTGAGTAGCCCTCGATTTTCGAAATATCACGAGGGTTACGTGTTCTGCCATCCTCGTAGTTCCGCCTTGACAACCATTCAGTGCTTCTTGTGAGAGCTCTAGGGGTTCTCTTTAGCGGGATGTCGATCTCACGCGAATAAGCACCACTCCGAGCCGTCGTGTCCAGCACACCGTCCCGCCGATCCTCCCTTCTGACAAAGGGAGTGTAGAGATCTCTATCGTAATCATAGCTCCTCTCGTTTCGTTCTCGATATATCGGTATGCTTATTCCTCGACGATCATCGTAGATGTGGTCACGATCGAAGGCCTCACGGTGGTCCAGCGATTTGCTCCTGTAACGAATAAATATCTCTTCCAGAACGTTCACTACGTGTTGACTACTACAGGTTGTTACAGAATTGATCGCAGTACTGCGAAACTATGCAAAAACGGTTAATCATCAATTACGAAACGGGTTTTCTAGAAGGGTAACAAACGCCCGACAAGCGAAATTGCCTCGTCAATGGCGAGGAATGTTGAGACAATGACTAGCTATAAGAACTCGATCAGCCGTCTAGATAAGCACCTACCTAAGCGTTTTATCCAGTGGCCGATTGTAGGTAGGAAAGTCAGATGGAATATATTCAGGATCGAGTCGTGTGTGAGAACGAGCTCGTAGTTGTGGAGCGAATTCATGTCTGGGAACATCGACGTAGTCATGTGAACGATGATCAGGCTCACGGAAGTCCCGATATTCGGGATAGTCTATGCCACGATAAAATTCTGGCGGAGGGCGGCCGTATTCGGGCCGAAACTCCATGCTGACGATACGGCGAGAGGGTGGGGGGAGGGCGGTGATCAGAGTGCGATCAGACGGAAAGCTAGCAACCGGCGGTGAGAGGAATTTGTTCTAATATGAAACGGGTTGGCCGTTTGGGCAAGCTGATTTACAACGCCGTTTTCGGGGTGTGGCGGAGGCGGCTGCGTCGTCGGCGCAGCGGCGGCAGCGGAAGGTCGGGAAATCTGGGTGGTGGCTGGCGTGGCTGGAGATGACGGTGGCGCGAAGAAGGTCGGGAAATCTAGGTAGGCGCAGAAATACCGGGCAAAAACGTATTCGGTAACGTTTTCAAGAGCCGGTACTTGTTCGTCAGGCCGCCCTCATCACCGTGCCACATCTGCATGACATCGATGTCCATCTGCAAAAACTTCCGCTAAAAGCATTCAGAAACGACAACGATGGCGACAACGCCCTCACGAACTAGCACCTCAACCGAAACTGTCGCCGTTTTTGCTATTCAATGAATCGCTTCACGACGTTGAACGCAATGTTTCTTCTGCTAACGAAATAACCCGTCGCAGAACGAAACTGGTTACTACGTATGGATTCACATAGAGACTCACCTTAATGGTTTCCTAGTGCAGTATATGGAAAGCCAGGAGGAACGCAGGAATGCCGCGCAAGTTCAACCAGTCAGCCACCGTGAAAACATGGCGTTTTCCACAGCCCTTCCACTCAGTCAGGGAAATGCAAACGTTGTCAATTAAGTCAACGCTATGGGAAGCGATAGAGCTATTATTTATTCTTCATTAGCTATTATTTAAATCATCTTAGGGTGAGCGATGGGCCCGTGTTCTAAGATTTAGCGCAATAAATGGAGGAGAGTAAGCTGGACTGCTATTAAGCTGACCGAAAAGTCCAGCTTTTTCAGCCACTTCAGAATTTTGAGCGGCACTAGCGCTTTTTTTTAGAATCGGGTTCACCTGCCTAAACAATGTATGAATTTTTTCATATGGGTCCCCTCCCCCCGGGTAGTCTATTAGGATGGGATTTCCTTACATGATAGATCAGACACTGGCGTCACTCTTCTTACACTCTGGAATTCTATTTTATCCGTAAGGTTAAATCCTTTAATGGGTGATACAACTTGTTTATATTTTTTGCATCGATAAGGTGATCTGCCAGGCCCGCTGAGCCTTCCATCCTTTTGAGGTCGGTGAAACGGTATTCTTTGTCTGTGACTATGAAAGCCCTGACCTCGACACGCACTGCCACTAAAGTTCAGGTCAAGCCCCGCCCACGCTCAAATACGGTTTTCCCAACTTACTGATGAGCTCCGGGGATTGACGAAATAATAAGGTTCGTCTGAGGAAGGAGCGAAACGAACCATTTCAATTATTTCGTTTATAATGGTTTTTTCTTTCTTAATTTATGACGGGATAGATGGCGTGGCGCATACCAAAAGGCCCTGATCAACTTCGAATGTTTCTCCTTTTATCAGTTTTTTTTTCGTCTTTCAGATTTCGTATATCTGAAAAGTGCTCACATAATGCATTCTTCAAGAATCACTAGAACATTTATCAGCGTAAAACATCCCCGAATATTTGGACCAAGGTAGCGTGCTGACAAGAGATGTCATTCCTTAACTGGCTTGTCAGATCTAGTCCGCTAGAGCGCATCGTTTCTTTCAATTAATAGCCATCGCTCGTAATGTGGTCGTGACAAGTTATCTTTGGTCAGACTTCTTCCGCTGAATTCTACCTTAAAGGAGGAATTCACGATTAGAATGAAGGTCGAAGAAAGGGAAACTGACCTAGTTGAGGGACCCACGGACCTCCTGAGGGTGCGAACTGACGCGCAATTCGCATGGAAAAATTTGACCTCGGCGACCTATCATGCCTCAAAGCTGGCGGGTCCGGCGATCTCCGCCCACCGATCACTCGCCGTAGTTCAATACGTGGCGAGTGATTAGATAGCTGAGAGAGCGTAGTGTTGAAGAGGGCACAGCGATGAGAGTCGCATCAATGCTCAAATCAACGGGCAAGGAAGGGGTCCCATTTCTCGGGTTCTGGGCCGTTTCTCATGGTTCTTCCTTCTTTCGTGTACCACTCACCATCCCTAGGTTAATTTGAAATGGGTTGCTTTTTCATCGTGAATTCGTCCTTTAAGCATAGGGAACAAACAAGCCTGCAACATGCTTTCGCGGCACATTAGACCACAAAAAAGCATCTGACTGGCTGGTGTTCTGGTTACCATTGTTAATACAGTGCCACCGTTTCTGACAAGAACAAGGACTAATATAGTTGGCTACATAGTAGTACAAACCAGTTTAGAGTAGTTGAGAAGGGGGGGGGGCAGAAAACAGTAACTTGGCCCATGGCGCACATCATCAAATTTTTCGTCGCACAGGGTGCCGTTGTTGATGAAAGTTTTACGGCGAATATTCCTTAGGTGTCCCCCCGTAAGCAGAAGCAGGCCCTTCACTGCCCCGCCGTCTTCAGAATATGACGTCATCTGCCATCACCGTCGAGCTCAACGAGGCTTACCGTAAT